TGTCCAAAACAAGGACTCGATCGCATATTTTTTTAATAAGAGTCCGGTCAAAACTTGTCGCTTTGTCTACTTCTTTGTCTGAAAACTCTTCGTGTTTCCAGTCAAAAAGAGGCAAACTGTAGACATACGATTTTTCATAACTTGTACAATTTACATATGATTTTTAAAGTGAATGTGTTATCGAATAATTTAAGTTGCATATGGGACAAGTTCGTTTACTTGATACGATACCAAATAATATACTTGAGATGTTTACCACTTATTGAAATGTTGTTACCATTACTAGGCATGCTTTACGATTACTTGAGATGTGATTACGATTATTGTGATGATTTTCTTATTACTTGAAGAAATATTATTTTGACAAGTTTTTTGTTAACTAAAGTGACCTGAAATATTTTTAAAAATGTTTATACGAGCACTCATCTGATTATAAAGAAAGTATAGTTTTGAAAGTAAACCTTGATGGATTACGTAGCGAACGATGAGTTTGTTAGACTTGGTGCAACTAGTAATTACATATTATTGTTATAGTCCTTACTAGTGGTGTAGACACGTAATTTTTGACCGAACATAAGGTTTTACACTATTTTTTATTCCTTAGATATTTCTTTTATGTCTAAGTTAGATATTTTAATTTTTGTCTTATTCTAGTAAGTGTATTATAAAAGATTTGAAAATAACAAAAATATATGTTTTATTTTAATTTTAGCTAGTATTTCTTAATTATAATTTATTATTAGCTACTCAATTTTAATGAAATAATCATATTATATTATGTTATATTATATTATATTATATAATATTATATTATATTATATTATAATTTAAACCCACCAATTACCCACCTTCCCTGCCAATTACCACAACCCCCCAATTACCCTATTTTATCTCCACCCACAACACACCTTAATCTCCCACAAACTACACACACTACATGCACGACACACACAACATATACACAACACACTACATATATCCTATATAATTACACTACAACAACAGAGACTAGACGAGGATACTAGCATCAGGAATACAAAAAATCCACACAATATCAAAATACACACACGAGAAAAGGAGGAAAAGAACACATCAATTTTTTTTTATTCAGCCCACATTCAACACTTTCATACGCAAGAACATAAAAACACAATACGACAAAAAGTTGAGTTCGAGGTTTATTTTCGTGGTTCTGGTTGTGGTCTTTTTTTTTGTGAATTACTTTTCACAAGAGGTAATACTTAATTCCTTTTATATAGTTTAATGTCATGATTATACAAGCATTAGTTGCAATATATTGAAATTGTTAAATTTCGTATGTGTTTAAACCATTAATATTCATTGATGTTATAATATGAAGTATGTTCAAATCTTCCGTATCAACTTTATGTTTAGATCTTTTATATCATTAGACTTAGTGCAAAATTTTATAACAAAACTTAGTTTATCTCATGTTTAAACAATCCATGATTTATTTCATGTTAAGTAAAATTATTGTCTACATCTATTCTTGTTTTTATATTTTGATTCTCTTATGATGATACATGTATTTATGGTTTAACAAACTGAAATGATATTAATAACAAATCTTTATTATGTAAAATATTGATTTTAATTAGCAGGTTTTTCTTTTCATTTTAATTAATGACTAAAATAAAGGAAAATAAAAGATTTTAGGTGCCCATAATTCCTAACATGTTTATACTAATGTAACATGTGTAAAATTGGTATGGAAAGGTGTATTAATTTATTTTTACTTTGTGTTCATTCTTTTTTTAGGAAAACATAAAAATAAAACTAAGATAACATGTAATTTAGGCTATTAACAATAATAAGGCAAACACTACTATCTAAAGAACATTAAACTACTTTTAATCTTGAAATACAAACAAATACACAATTTGTGGTAAGACTGGAAAGCGGTGTTGTTAGTAAACCACACACTAATATAACAAGACAGTTTAAAATAAATCAAAGAAAATGGGACATAAGTAATTTTATTAAGATAATAAATATAATGTATCCAAAGTTAAGTAAATTCAGATATAAGTCAATAAAGAGACCGTGCTAGAAACATGGGACTCGAGGGGTGCCTCACACCTTCCCCTCGTTCAATAGAATTCCTTATCCGAATTTCTAGTTCGCAGACCAATAATAAATAGAGTCAATTTCCTTTTGAATAGGGATTCAAATAAGGTGACTTGGAACACCAAAACTCAATTCCAAGTGGCGACTCTGAAATAAAATAATCTCTTTTCAAAATGTCACTTTAATTGGAAAAACTCTTTTCTTTCAAAACCTTTATTCGTGTTTGAGGAAAAAATAGGGGTGTGACAAGTGGAAGATAGAACTATCATATTGTTATTGATCTCCCTCGAGTAGGGACCTACCGATATGAATATTTGATTCCTTTAAGAGGGGTCCACATTTAGTAGCTATTTCTTAAAGTAGAAAGTGAGTTACATGATTCATTTTTTAAAGTATCCTAAATATAAGATTTGATGTGACAGTGTTTATTAAGTTTTTTATCAAGCAATTAATTGATTTGCAAACATAGTTTTAGAAATATAAAAAAATATTTAAAATCAAAACCATCTTCTTCTTTTTTCATGTAGATAAATATCCAGCTGGACAACCCAATGCTTAATTCTACCAGTTTCTATGTTGTTCCAAAAGAATTTAGCAAAATTCTTGTGTAACTCTATTATTACACATTTGAGAGGAACAATTGCTGCAAAAATATGAATAGAAATACTTAGTATTGCACTATAAATTAATGTAACTTTACCATCAAGAGATAACATCTTCTCTTTCCAAATTTAAACTTTATCCTTCACATTCTTAATGAGCTCATTATAATTACTCTTCCTCTTTTTTGGCATGAGTGATAGCACACTCTAAATAAGCGATTGAGAATTAACTTCAAATAAAATTTGTACATCTATTAATCAAACCTTCTGACTTTTTATTAATTAGGCTTCTAATGCATGTACCAAACATTTTTGATTTTATCAATTAGTTGGCTAAATTGAGACTTGTATTTGACTCAAAATCTTCATAATTCTTTTGATTGATTGCTCATGTGTTGCTACAAAAATTATAGTGTCATCTGCAACAGCCAAATGATTCAGAGTTGGACTCCATTTAGACAGATTATATTTCAAAAATTTCTCATCATCAAACAAAGAATTCGAAGCTCTGGATAAAATTTTAGCACTAAGAATAATAGTGCAGGGGATAAAGGATCTCTCTATTTTACCCCTCTTGTGGAATAAAAGAACCATGAATATTGTTGGTAAATTTTAGTAGTATGAGTTATTATAAAGCAGAGCAGTCAAGAAGAATATTGGTAGAAGAATATTTTTATTGATGTCTTCAGATTACATTTATAAGACTGGAACGAAAAATAGAAAGCAGTAAACCCACTACTAGCATATTCCTAACTCACTAACTTACTCCTAAATAATAGGAATAGATGGCTAACAACTAATTGACTAAGTCTAATCTAATATAAAGCAGTAAAAGTAAAATTAACTGCAGTTGAAAAAGCAAATTCATAACACTCCTCCTTGCTTTGGAAACTGCAAACTCCAATTTTCTGTCTGAGAAGTTGAAACATGCTGGCGGGTAAAGGCTTAGTGAATATATCAGCCAATTGTTCTTCCATCTTGCAGTAGAAAAGAGTTATATCTCCATTTTTTTGCACTTCTCTCAAGAAAAATAACTTGATTTTGAAGTGCTTAGTTCTTCCATGAAACACAAGATTGTGAGATATAGCTATTGCTGCTTCATTATCCACGAACACTTTGATGCTTCCAGTCGACTCCATATGCAAATCAACTAGAATTTTCTTCAACCACAATGCTTGATTTACTGCTGCTGCAGCTGCCACAAACTAAGTTTCGACAGTAGATTGAGCTACAATATCTTGTTTCTTACAACTCCATGAGAAAATTCTAGAACCAAGACTAAAACAGTACCCTGAAGTACACTTTGCATCATCCTCCGGAACCCGCCCCAATCACTGTCGGAATACCCACAAAGCTTCAAAGGTTGACTCTTCTGAAACTTGACTCCATAGGTGATGGTTCCTTTGATGTATCGCACAACTCTTTTGGTTGCCTGCAAATGTACTTCACTAGGACAATGCATGAATCTTGATAAAAACACTTACAACATACAATATATCGGGTCTTGTTGTTGTAGGATACATTAAACACCCAATGAAACTACTGAAGTGTGTCTCATCCACCTTTTCGGCTCCATCATCTTTACTTAGTTTCTCTTTTTGGTTCATGGGAGTACTAATCTCTTTGCAATTTTCCATTTTGAATTTCTTGAGAATTTCCTTTGCGTACTTTTTCTGGCAAACGAAAAACTCATTTTTTCCTTGTGTAATCTCCATTCCAAGGAAATATGTCATAAGACCAAGATCAGACATTTCAAAAGCTTGCATCATATCTTGCTTGAACTCATCAATTAGCTTTTCACTGCTCCCTGTAATCAAAAGGTCATCCACATAAAGAGAAACAACAAGAATCTCACTGCTATTATGTTTAACATACAGTGTGAATTCTGAAAGACTCTTTTCGAAATCAAGACCGAGCAAATAATCATTTATTCGACTATACCAAGCTCTTGGTCCCTGTTTTAAGCCATAAAGAGCTTTATGTAGTCGATAGACTTTATCTTCCTTTCCATCTATAACAAGCCCTTCAGGTTGCTCAACATAAATTTCTTCTTCAAGAATGCCATTAAGAAATGCTGATTTGACATCCATCTGATGCACTTTTCAGCCACGTTGTGCAGAAACAATTATAAGCAATCTGATCGTGTCAAGCCTAGCAACTGGAGCAAAAGTGTCAGAAAAATCTACACCAAAAATCTACGCATAACTCTTAACTACAAGCCTTACTTTATGCTTGTTGATTGAACCATCAATATTTAGCTTGGTTCGGAACACCCACTTTACCCCATTTACTTTTCTACCTTAAGGTTTATTAACAAGTTGTCACATATAAATTTTTTTCGATCATAAACAGCTCCTCCTCTATTGCATTTCTCCACTTAGGGTCCTTGAGAGCATCTTTAGGGTTAGCAGGTTCACGAATCGCAACATTGCATCTCTCATATATATCAGAGATCAATCGAGTTCCCCTAACTGGTGGATCATCGTCCCTTTCATTTAACCATGAGCTTGTTTTCTGGACAGAATTCCTTGAGTCATCCCAATCCCATTCTTCATTCTCCATGAAGTGGACATCTCTGCTGATAACTATCTTCTCACCTTCAGGTTGAAAGATTTTGTACGCTTTTGAAACATTATTGTACCCAATAAAAATGCTCGGGGCAGCCTTCTTATCTAGTTTATCCCGTTTGACCTAAGGTACATAGGTAAAATAAAGACAACCAAACACTTTAAGAAAATAGCAGCGGAGGCTTGTATCCATACCATGCTTCAAAAGGAGTTTGATATTTCAGAGCTTTTGAAGGAAGTCGATTTTGTAGGAACACAACTGTATTTGCTGCCTCTGCCCAAAACCTCTTTAGCAAAAATCTTCCGTGCAGCATACATCTTGCCATCTCCATGATAAATCTGTTTCTTCTCTCACTAACTCCATTTTGTTTGGAGTATAAGGAGTAGTAAGTTGACATTCAATCCCTGCTTCTTAAAATAGACCAAACTAATGAGACGTGTACTCCTTTCCATTGTCAGATCGTAAAATCTGAATTTTGTAGCAACTTTCATTTTCCAACTTCTCTTTCAACTTCCAAAAAATGCTCTTGACCTCCTATTTGTACTTTAAAAAATAAATCCAGCACATTCGGGTCAGATCATCAATAAAATAACATAATAAAGACTACCTTTAAGTGAAGGAGTCCTTTGGGGTCCTCCAATATCGGTGTGAACCAGCTGCAACTTTCTTGTTGCTCTCCAAGTTGCCTTTGGGAATGGAAGTCTACTTTGTTTTCCAAATTGACATGCCCGATAATTTTTAGAACTCGCTCCCAGTTTAAAAAGGTTCTCGACTATCACCAATTCTTGCATTTTGAGAAGCCCTTGATAATGATAGTGTCCGAGTCTCTTATTCCATAACTTGGAAGCATTTTCTTTTGCCGAATACACCACTTGTTCTTCCTCCAATGGATTTAATGAGAAGCTTCTGCCTCTCATTTTGACTTTAAACAAGTCATGTCCTGAGGCTTCCTTGATCAAGCAATGTTTATCTTCGAAATACATTTTGAAACCTTTTTCTAACAATTGACAAACACTTACCAAGTTCTGATCTAAATCTGGTACATAAAGAATATCGAAAATTGCTTTAGTACCTGATTGTGTACTTTCAATTGTAATAGTTCCCATTCCTTTTGCCGGAATATAACCGCCATGACCTATTCTGACTTTCGCAACTCCAATAGGCTTCAAGTCTTCAAAGAGCTCTTTTAATGAGTCATATGGTTTGTGCATCCGCTATCAATCAGCCAAGCCTCAGTTGAAACATTGCTTGCAAAACACGATGCCACAAAAGAGTTGATCTTCTTCCTGTTCATTAACAACCTGGGCATCTGCATATTGCTGCTGCAATTTATTCTTGCAGATAATTGCTTCATGCCCGAGTTGGTTGCACTTACTGCATTTAGCATCCGGCCTTTTCCAACACTTATACGGCGTGTGCCCATTCTTTCCACAATGCTTACAAGGAGGATAGTTTCCTTTAAAGCTACCTACTTTGCTTTTGTTGTTGTAGCGAGCTGCTCCTTCTCCATTTGTTGGCTGGTTCTTCTTATTGTTTTTCTTTTTGTATCTTCCACTCTCTTCATGTTTGGCCGCCACTGCTCCCTCTCTTATTCCCTCTTCTCTTATAACCCTTATTTGTTTTTGAGCCTGCAAGGAATTCAATAATTCCGCCAAAGTGATTTTTGACAGATCCTTGGTGTTCTCCAAAGTGGTAATGGTGGATTCAAATCTTTCAGGTACAGTAACCAGAATCTTTTCAACAATACGCGATTCTTTAAACTCAGAACCAAGTAATCTTACTCTGTTTGCTATGCTCATAAGCTTGACAGAGTATTCTTTGACGGTTTTCGATTCTTTCATCTTCTATAACTCAAAGTTTCTAATGAGATTTAGCACTTGCATACCTTTGATATGATCATCTCCTTCATATTCTGCCTTGAAATAATCCCAGATGGCTTTTGCTAATTTTAGAGACATGATACGAGTGAAAATTGTTGAAGAGACTGTTGAAAAAAGACATGCATTTGCCTTAAATTTTCTGGTTTTCTTGTCCTTGTGATTTTTGAGTTGAGCCATTGTTGGGTTTTCGGGTAGCGGAAGAACTTCATAGTCTTCCTCGATTGCCTCCCAAAGATCTAAAGTTTTGAGATAAGCTTCCATCCTCACTGCCCACATGTGAAAATTTTCACCATTGAAGACAGGAGGTGCCATTGTTGAGAAACTTGAGCTTTCTTCCATTTTTAATCTTTTGCTGTTTCTAGTTGTGGCGCTTGAGTCACTTGAAACAATCACTCACAGAAATACCCACAGATCTCGCAAGATAAAAAAGCTCTAGATACCAATTGTTGGTAAATTTTAGTAGTATGAGTTATTAGAAAGCAGAGAAGTCAAGAAGAATATTGGTAGACGAACATTTTTATTGATGTCTTCAGATTACCTGAATGAAAAACAGAAAGCAGTAAACCCACTACTAGCATATTCCTAACTCACTATTTTACTCCTAAATAATAGGAATAGATGGCTAACAACTAATTGACTAAGTCTTATCTAATATAAAACAGTAAAAGTAAAATTAACTGCAGTTGAAAAAGCAAATTCCTAACA